CACCTACACAACTTCACGTGGCTACACCTCCTTTCAGTATGTCGCTTGCACAACTTTGTGTGGATAGGCCTCTTCTGGCATGCAACCACACAAGTATGCATTTCCTTCCACTCAGGACACCTGTGTTCCCTGTATATTTTAGTCACCAGATGCATTTCTTGTTTATGCTTTCACCAGTTCTGATTTCTGTTCACACACTGATGCAGCAGAAGTAAGGCCAAAAGTCTTTCTTCAATCGATATCCAACACTATCACCTTCTCTTTTATTCATATCACAAACCTTATTCATTATTATTCTTTCTTTTTCACAGAAGCAACGTCACAAACCTAGCACTATTTTCATACAAAATATTCAAATGCATTCCATTTTTTAGTTCTATGTGTTCAAACTTTTACTGTTAGGATGTGCCATGCTACTTCCTCAGAGTTGATATGCCCTCATTTCCTCAATATTCCAGTTGTAAGTACCATCCACTCAGCCAGCCAGACAGCTTTTTGCAAATAAATGCTACATTGTAAAGCAGAATCCTACAATCTTGACTGCTTCAAATCAAGGGTTGCCTTACAGCCATATAATCACCAAAACTAAGCAATGTCGAGCCTGGTCAGTACTTAGAAGGGTAATCTTCTTCTAGTTCCAGTTGGATGTCGTTATATTCACTAATGTGGAAATAACCTTGGAAAATATATGAATCCACCTCTTCTCCCCCCAGCTATAGGTTAATTAGTAATACTTGTATTATTAAATAATTATCATCTCCCCCCTCTAATTCATAAACTGTAAAAAAAATTTCTGGCTTTAAATGACCAGTAAATGTAAACCAAAAAAATGAATGAATCAATCAAGTGCCATTTATCCTGATGATCTTCACTTTCTACCATCTGGTCTTTCATTCATATCATATTTCATACAGCATAACCATTCTAACAGTATTCTTCTACCTTGAGTGACTCTTGAGCCTTGCATTTTATGAAGTTTAGTATTAAAATAATCCCCCCCTCCATTTCACTCAGCACCAAAATCTGCTGTTAACAAAATGTGTTTTATAAACCTTGAGAGTGTTGGATTATTCATATTTCGGTGTTGTGCTTAAAGGATTTGTCAGTCTCTGTTCCAGAAGCAGAGATTCTATGCAGTCCATGGCATCCAGATTTTATATAGCGGCAAGACGAAAGGAGGCAGAAGATACATTGACAAGGCAATATGCTGAAATGCCGACAGTGACAGCAAGACAACTTGACTAATGGAATCCAACGGTTTTCACCAAACACAGCAAGATGTTGGCTGCTCTACAAGCTGAAAACAAAGCGAATATAAACTAAATAGAAGAAGCCAAAAATGGCAGCATGTGGCATATTGACTGCTTCTTAAACCACTGGTTCAAACTGTGCCCACTCTCTGACTATATATAAAGGGGCAGTAGTTGACTTCTTTGTTTTCCCGTGCTAATAAGAATAAAATTACATGACAGCATGATGTCCCTTGTTCATATTTATATCTTATTTAAATATTATCATATCTTGTCTAGTTGTCCACTGAAAGATTAAACCCATTACATTTCATTTTCAGCATGAAATGAAAATTTATTATTTCAGAACTACCAATTCATTTGTGCCGTAGAGTGAAAATATATTAGTGCTAAACATTCATCTTGTTGTTTATTAGTGCTTTCAATTCATTAAGCTTACAGCTATATCATGCTGAAAAGCAAATTCTCATATGACCACTGAAGTTAAGCAATGTTGAGTCTTGTCTGTACATAGATGCGTGACCACTTTGGAATTACCTGGTGCTGTAAGCTTGGATGTACAAGTGGTATAATTCATGAGCTGAATACCATTGGGAAAGGTATGAATCCACCTTTGCTCTCCCAGCTATAGGTTAATTAGTAGGACTTGTATCAGTAAATCATTGTTTTCAATTCATTAGTGCTACCAATTCATTTTTCAATTCCTTAGTGCTACCAATTCATTTTTCAATTCCTTAGTGCTACCAATTCATTTTTCAATTCATTAGTGCTACCAATTCATTTTTCAATTCATTAGTGCTACCAATTCATTTTTCAATTCATTAGTGCTACCAATTCATTTTTCAATTCATTAGTGCTACCAATTCATTTTGCAATAAAGTGAAATTTGTTATATTAGTGCTAATAATATTTAGCATACTTTGATAATTAAATTTTTGCAATATTTCTTGGAAAGTAGTATAATTTTAATATTACAACTGAAAATGTAGACCTAAAGAGATATGTTTCTCATTTATTAATTACTTTATTTTTAATGTCATGTTCCATATTATGATGGAAATGCAACTGACTTTGCTAGAATTAGAACTCCATTCAGTGACTTCACTTTTCATGCAGATATCATTTGTTACCCACATATCCTTTAAAAATAAGTCATTTAAAAAGGCATGAAATAGCCTTTGATTTAGCATGTAATATTAGGTGGGGATAAAAAAGTTCTTGGTCTGAACCACTTTCCAAAATGTGATCAAATGATTTAAATGTCAATATCTTTGGAATCCTTTCTTGGTTAAACTAGTAGAAGTTGGTGTCATGCTAGACAATATTCCTTGCCCGAATTCGTCTTACATAGTTATAAATTTACCATTCACCCATGATTTGAATATTGCTACCATATATGGTCTGGTGCTCCTGCTGTATATTTAGTCTTTAGTGATCCTTGATAAAATCAAAAGAAGAATCTGCAATATCATTGGTCTTGACCTGGCATCTTGGCTTCTATAACTTTCCCACCATCATAATGTAGCTTCCTTGTACATTCTCTATAAAAACTTACATGGTAATTGTTCTGATGAACTTTGCTCTATGCTAACTACACTTTATAAATTTAAATATAGTATTAAATTGATAGCAAGATCTCACCATTTTACAATTTAAATGATTAGATGTAACCATAAGTGCTATGCTAACAGTTTCTTTGCTTGCACTTTTTGCTTGTGGGACTCTCTTCCAACTTTTTGCTTTCCAGTCAAATTTGATCTTCAAAAATTTAAATGCAATGTCAGTCATTAACTTCTGTCATAATTCCTGTTCTTTTATTGCTTTTGCTCCTTAATAATGTTTTTCTTATATTCTTTAACAGTGAGTAACCTCCCTCATATTAGTGGCTTTGTTGCCTTGCTTGTGGTGAAATATATATATATATATATATATATACACACACACAGTTGACCTTTCCTAAAGGTTTCAGTACTATGCATAATATTCATATGTAAGTTTTAATATGACAAGGCTATTTAAGAATGTGACTTTAGGTTTATGATTATCAGCAGTATGATGAGGATGTTAGTCCTAGTGATAATGCCTCAAAAATAGAGCTGAGAACTTTTCAATGACTACTTTTATACTAGGGTAAAAAAAATAAATAAAAGAAAATAATTATTTTAAAGTTAATGCACTCATAATTATAAATGAATGGCAATGCCAAAAAAGAAAAATATTTGTAAATAAAAAATAATGACAAGAATAAAGACAAGAGTAAAAACTATTCTTAGCCGATATGTTTTGTCCTCTGATGGGACATCATCAAAGCAATGTAGGAATTATTTTATTGCATCTGTTTATATACAAAAGAAAGGATGCCATTGTTTTATCAAGGCTTTCACATTTGAGAACATTCATGAATATTCATCAGGTGGTTGAAAGGTCTGTCAAAACATATGGAGGACCCACGCTGACATAATTCAAAGTCTGGTATGACAAAACTGAGAGAGTAATATTCAAGAAATATTTTTTTTTTTTTTAATAAATGAATATTGTTTAAATGGTGATCAGAATGTTATGATTTGGGATGGATAGATGGATGTACATAAAAACACCCATAAAAATAATAATTCAAAAGGCATATATAAAATAAATTTCCAATACTGTTCCTCACAATACATTGGGGAAACATGCATTTAAAAAACACATCTATGAACACAAGGGACTTTATACAAATTTATAAAAAAAAGAAAATGATCAAATTTATTAGTTTATACACAGAAATAAATTCAACTACAATTTTGACCCAAAAGTGCCACATTTATCAAAAGAGAAAGTAATTTACTTGGAAGGAAAATTCTCAAGAGTACTGCTATTGGATCTTATCAGAATATAAAGCTAAGCCCCAGTTTCCTTACCTGAAAGAATTTTCTTTCCCAACATACACAACCACAAACATGTTGAAAAAGAAAACGGTTAAATCAATTACCTCATGTTTTTGAATATGTACAGCACATACGTCCATTCCAAACAAAAAAAATCTGATCACAATTTAAAAAATATTCATTTAAAAAAAAAAAAATTCTTTTGAATATTACTGTTACTTCTACCAGATTTTAAATTGACACTTTGTGTCCTCCATATGTTTTGACAGACCTTTCAACCACCCGATGAATATTTATGAACATTCTCAAATTTAAAAGCCTTGATAAACCAATGACTTTTTGCTTTTATATATAAACATGTGCAACAAAATTAAATCCTACATTATCTAGATAAAGACTCTGAGGATGAAGCCTGTTGGCTAAAACTATTTTTTCTCTTGTGTTTTATTCATTTTGTTCCTTTACATATACTCTCTCTGAAAATAATTTACATATATAATTATATGCAGTATGATAATCTTTTTTTTCTTTTTTTTATGTCCTATCATGTTCGTTCAGGACAAAGGTGATCATAGCTTTTCAAAGATTTCTTTGCTTAATTATCTGTGAGCTACTATGGCTTCCCAGGAAGATGGAGTGAAATGGTTTTCCATTACATTCTCCTCTGTTTTGAATTCAGAATTTTCGTGGTAGACTGGTTGTTACCTAAGGCTAGAGAGCACAAGACCGCCCTGTTATTTTAACCAAGAGTGTGGGAGAGAAGAGATAAATTCATGTCTTTCCCAAGAACACAACAGACTAGATAGAATTTTGAACTCGGCTTACCAATTCAACTGTCTGCACCAACATTGCACTACCTGCATAGCACAAATAAAATTTTAAGCTTACGGCACCTGGTATGCCCAAGCAGTCACTCATCAAAGTATTGAACAGGCTCAATGTTGCTTAACTTCAGTGATTGGATGAGAACCAATGCATTTAATAGCTGTAATGCATACATGAGCATTGAAAATAGCTGCCATATCTGCTATATGTCTAGAGATTCTTTCTAAAAATATTTAAAAAAAGAATCTGAAATATTATTAATCCTGAGCTGGCATCTCAGTTTCAGTGACATACCCACTGCCATAACATAACTTCTCTGTGCCTTTTGTATAAATATTTCCGTGGTAATTGTTCTGATGAGCTTTCCTCTTTATGTATTCAAGCGCATTACTAGGTTGGCAGCTAGGTCTGACCATTTTATAATTGAAATAGCTAGATGTAAGTTTTATGCTAACAGTTTCTTCTCACTTATTTGTGTAACTCTCTTCCAGCTTCTTGCTTTCCAATCAACTTTGATCTTCAAAAATTTAAATCCAATGTTAATCATTATTTTTTGTCTGTTCTTTTATTGTTCTCTCTCCTTAATAATTATTTTCTCTTACTCTTTCACACTTAGTAACCCTGCCACCTTACATCTTAGCAGCTTTATTGCCTTGTTTGGAGTGGGATGATTAAAAAAAAAAGCATAAGAATATTTTGTAGGTAGAGTATGAATGAGTGCTGAAAAATTCTTGACTATAATCAGACCACATGACCAAATATCCAGGTTGGCATTATCACTTGATCTCTTCATCTCCATTGAACAATGATGAGAGTACACCTGACTCCTGCCAACAACAGCACTTGTATGGCATCTACAGTTACAAGTGGTTTGAAACAGTGTATCACAAGATGGTATGTGTTGAGATGTTGAGTGTTTCCCCGTGCATGTATTGAAATAAGGACAAACACATACGTAGGGAAAAATACTGGTATATCTGAAGAGGTATTTACAACAGAGAGATTAGTAGTCAAATGAACACAGATTAGTCAATAACAATCAGAAAGAGTATAAAGTCCAACTGTATCTTCCGGTAGAGAGACGGAAGTGTGATGGTCACCTGATCTTTTAGAACTCTATAGAACTGTCCTATTAGTTAGTAGAGAGATCAGTCCATTCTGATGTGAAGGTGGGTGGACCCAACATTATGTGCCATTTCTATGATGATATACATATATGAGAATAGGACTGTATTAATGCCCAGAGAGGATGTACAGTGTAGTAATATGGGCTCTGAATACAACCCTTATTTTGAAAAATGCTCATTTATTTATGATGTGATTATATATAATAATAATGAAGCCTATTGGTCTTAGCAAAGACCACACTTCTCCAAACTACAGAATCCGAATCAAAGAACTGTACCAAATAACAGAAACCACATCATTTGAGGATTTTCAACAGCAGCAACAGTTAAAATAAATATTGCAAGTAACTTGGAGAGAATAAGGATATGATCAAAATGTTGACATTCCATACAATTTAAAAGAAAATCTTAGGAAGGAAGTCCCAAACAATACTGGAAAACAGTGATCTTGAGAATGATTCATTGTGGGTTATTTAAATACCAAAACATTTTGGATTGTATGAATAATTCTTTTTTGTTTTGGCAAGTGAATATTGTATTAACAAGTATTTTTGGAAATAACAATGATTTTTTCCAGATACAAGGCCTACTATTTAACTCATAGCTGGGGAGAGAAGAGATTGATGCATACCTTTCCCAAAGATATTTTCACATAACTGAACATAATAAGTTCAACTTTGTACGCAACTTTCTAATTTCTCATATAGAGTGGTTTTTCATTACAACACCCACACCTATTTTCCTAAAAAATTGTTTTAATAGAAAATTTTTATAAATTTCACACGAAATGTCACCTTTTTATCTAATTTCTTAAGTACTTCACCCACAACCATTAAAAGTTTAGGAAAGAAACCCCCATCAATACTGGAAAGAGCAATAACAGTTACTGAACTTTAGAAACATATTTTCCTGAAAAATTCAACTGACAGTAATATAAACTGCTTGAACAATGAATGCCAAATGTTTCCTTGTAAGGAAATGGCTAATGATTATTTACATTATTCAAACTGTTATCCTCATCTTCATTGCCATATTCACAACGTTTGTTGCTGTATGCTCAGGCCTTCTTCAAGTGATTGGAATTTTGAACTGAACCCTTTATTTTATCCACTGGAGTAGATTATTCTAGTTCTATGTGCCATGCCTATTCCAGATATCTCAGTTATTTCCCCTTAACTCTTCAAGTTTTTTTTGGTCACTGCTTAGCTTGGTATTGAACTCACAACTCTTTGGGTCTAGTCACTGGATCTAACCAACGTCTTTATCCACTGGACCATGTGTCCTTGAGGACACATAGCCCAGTGAAGGAGGATTGTGAATCTGGCAGTGAAGATGAGGAGAACAGTCTGAATAATGTAAATAATCATAATACCTCATCTCAGAGATCTAGACAGAAATGGCTTATTACCATTTATAGCTGTTAAGATGGATGGGCTCTGTCAAGTAATTTTACCCTAGATTCACAACCACTGTTATGGCTGCAGTTGATGTGGTGCCATTATGATCCTTGTGAGAGTTCATCTATTTGTTTAATCTTGAATAAAATAAGACATAATCAGAGTGTTGCAATTTTACTTTCCATCCATCTATTTAATATATGTGAAATTCTGTAATTTCTATTAGTTTGTCCACCCTCTAAAATAGCCATACATTGATGAATTGAAACCAAATTTTTGGGAGAAGTGCAAACAGATGGGTTTTACTCAGGTGCATACTTAGTACAATAAATTTTCTTGCCTATATTAAGTTTTTTATTTAACACACAAAATTCCAGAAAGAAATATTTACACATGGCCAGTTGTATGTTGCATGCTCAAGAGTAAGAAATCCTAAGAGTTTATTCTTCACTGTTTAAAAGGAAATATTTTCTTAAATATTGTTTTACCATAAAGTATTGTAAAATTAAAGAAATTATTAAACTGTGAAGTATGGTTTTTGTCAAAGTATTTTTCAAAACAAATCAGCTTATTCAAATTTTATCGATTGGTTTGTGAAATTGAATGAAACATAGTTTGTAAATCTCAACAAAAACTGTTAATGATAAATTCAACAATACTAAACTAATACTGTGAGGACTTCAATATGTGTCGGTGTGTTGTAAAAAAATTCTAGTTAGTATAAACATCTGCTCCTCAAATTTTATCAGTGCAAGATTACCTGTTAAAAGAAAGGGCATTTTGTTTTTACCAAAATCAGAATGTTTTTATTCCATGCTCAGTAGTAATGGCCATCTTTAACCTTGACTCCCTTAGCCTTTTCTATAAATACTTTCATGGTAATTGTTTGGATGAGCTCTTCTTGTTCTTCCTGGGTTGCACTTAGGCAACCCCTCCCAAAATTAGGCAACCCCTCCCGAAATTAGGCTAGTTTAGGGCTGTTTTGAATATTTAGTTTCTTTTTTTTTTTTTTGCAGTTAACTTAGCTAGGATATGTATGTTCATTGGTCCCTTTTATTTCTGACCTTATTTTCTTTAGTTTAATTCCCCATCCCTTCTCTCGTTAGGCGATCAGTGGCATCAGTTCTTTGGTGGATGCAGGAGGCCTTTCATCTTGAATGTGTGTTTTTGTATTTGTTGTTGTGTTTGAATGTGTGCATCTGTGAGTGATTGGGATGAATGAATGTTTTATATTATTATAGTCCTGCATTGGTTTTGTTCAGTTAACTGATGTTTCTGCCACATTTAAGGATTGTGGAGGGGGGGTATTACTAACATTGTTTATTTTCTTGTAAATTGCTTAGTTTCATATTGCAAATACTCATTGGGGCTAGTTTTAAAATTGTTGTTTTATTCCCCTCCCGCCACAGACAATGAATTGTACATATGGGGACTAATTAGGATTTTCATAGATTTCATTTTATAGGTATTATGGTGGATGTCGTAAGAAAGGTAGGTAAGAATGTGTTTTGGTGTTAGGAATATTGTTTGTATATTCGGGTCAGTGTTTGTGGCTAGCTAAGTTTAATATTAAGACAAATATCCCTCTTCTCTATAGTAGCTAGACCTTTTTTTAATTTAAGTGCAGTACTAGATTAACAACAAGGTCTCACCAATTTAAAGTTAAAATTGCTAGAGGGAACTGCTAATTCTATGCTAACAGTTTTTCTTGCTTCTGGCTCCATACTGTCCAACTTTGATCTTCAAAAATTTAAATGCGATATCAATCGTTGTCTACTGTCTTCCTGATTACTCTTCTGTTGTTACACACCCTCTAGTAATGTTTCTGTTTTCTTATTCTTCCACACCCGCGCCGCAGGTATGACGATAGTCCGCGTCGCGGGTATGATGATAAGGTACGTCCAACGGCAAGGCCTCTAATACGTTTTTGAAAAAAATATTACCAGCTATACTTTTTTTTTTTTTCTTTTTTGAAAGAATAGTGTCATTGTCTATACATTCTTGAGGAAAAATAATATTACCCCCCACCCCCCAAAAAAAAGAAAAGTTGTTGCCATTAAATGACCCACTGAGGTTGATGTGCCACAAACCAAACCAATCTTTCACACCCAGTAACCAACTGTGTCTTAGTGGCTTTACTGCCTTACTGAGTATAAATTCATTTAAATTTATTTTTTTTCCCTTTTTGCCAGTAGTTATTTTTGGAAATGATATCTATAGACATTTTTTTATTATTAGTCCTGGCCTGTCATCTTAGCTTCACTCACTTTCCCACTGCCATAAAGTTACTTACCTGTGCATTTTCTATAAATACTTTCATGGTAATTGTTCAAATCAACTCTTTGCTATGGTACCTAGACTTTTTTTTTTAATTTAAGTTCAGCACTAGACTTGCGACGAGGTCTTATCAATCTATAGTTGAGTTGGCTTGACATAACCATAAGTTCTATGCTAGCAGTTTCTTTTCTCAAACTTCTCACTTGTGGAAGTCCCTTCTGGCTCAGTGTCTTCAAGCCAACTTTAATCTTCCAAAAATTTAAATGCAATATCAATCTACTGTCCTCTTGATTACTCTTCTTTTGTTCTTGCTCCTTAGTAATGTTTCTCTTTTCTAATCCTTCCATGCCCAG